GTCTCTTTCTCTCTCTGAGGGATGCGGCAGAGAGGCTGGTGAAAACATACCCTCAATACCAGCTTCCCCGAAGAAATTATTCTTTTCCAAGAATACATAAATGAACCAGAATCTGATGTGCTAAGAACCTGAATGTGATGCGCTAAGGGGACCTTTATTATAATGAGAATACTTCAAACCATTGTCTGTTCTCTGGAAATGAAATCTTAAGAACGTTCTGGATCAGTTTATTGAGAAATTAACAGGAAAAAATATTTCAGTAACTAGGTACACATGTAGGCCTCTATGTGACTATACATGTACAGATTGTACCGGTATTTTGATTTTGGTATTGCTTTGCTTCACACTAAATTACTGAATAAAGCTTGTCTGATAAGATGATATTATTTTCTTTGTTACTCCATGAATTACTTCCTTTGTAATACCATATGATAGTAGATTGTACAAGAGCGAGGAGAATTTCGAGCGGGGGGGGGGGGGGGGGGGAAGTCGAGGGACCCAAGGAAGCTCAACTCCTAGGGGCCCTGCCATGGGATAATGCAGGTACTCTCTCTCTCTCTCTCTCTCTATATATATATATATATATATATATATAGGTATGTGTACTATAGAGAGAGATACAAGTCTCCCCCCTTACTAACAGGAGAGAGACACAGAAGCAGAGATGAATAGATAGACAGATTTATAATGCGTCAATGCTGTTGTCCGTGTGTGTATGTCTGTGACTTTTATGTGTGCACATATGCGTATATTATGTACGAGGCAATTAACATCCCCCCCCTAAACGCCGCCCCTTTCAACAAGTATCAAATTTCGCGGCGATTTCATGTTTTGGTTCGCTTGTTAGTATCGGTGAATGCCGGAGTTAGCGCTTTTGAATACTTGCGAATATTAAATATATTCCTTTTAATAAGGAAGGCCGAGTGCACGTTACCAACCATTACAGAAAATAGGATTATTTTACATTGGCAATATACGTTCATGATGAATATTTTTCTCCGATTACATACCGCTGCACATAAAAAAAATCTGCATTGATTCTTTATGCTAAATATTCAAAGAAAAAGTTATCCGAGGGTGGTTGTTTAAGTTAACTCAGCGAAGAATGAAAGGAAGTAACGAGCAGGAAAGGTAATTGTTATGGAGTAAGGACGAACACATACACCAAGACATATCGGTACCATTTTCTCATTAATTCATGAATTAGATATTTACCTGGAAACTTTCCTTACAGTATCTTTTATTACTTACCTTGCTATCACTTTTATCTTCATTGCTTTATCGTCATTATCCCTGTCACCATGATTAACACATTCATAGATATCCTTACCTAAAATGGCCATCATAATCAGCATAATTACCATCGTAATTCTCTTTATCACAGCAGTTACCTTTAATATTACAATGCATTACAAACCGCATTTCACTGTTTATCATCCCATTGTAGTTCTTATACTGATCATCACAATTACCAATAATTGACATCATTAGAAGCCTTTTCGTGTCAACATTTTCGTCATCGTCACTACCATCATTAAAATCTTTGTTCTCTTTATTGTTACTACCAATATTATTACCGTTATATTATTTTTGATAATAATTACTAATATTGAAAATATTAGTAATATTATTAATCTTGTCAATGTTGTTAATATTATTAATCTTGTCAATATTTTTAATATTATTAATCTTGTCAATATCATTATTATTATTATTATTATTATTATTGTTGTTGTTTTTGTTATTATCATCATGATCGTTATTGTTATTATCATGATCGTTATTATTATTATTGTCATTATTATCATTATATTATCATTATTATTATTACCACCATACGCATTAATATTTCGCATTCATCATAAGTAATCATACCCTCATCTATATCCTTAAGGTGATCATAATCATCATCTTCATGATTACAACTAACACCATTATCTTTATGATTTTTCTCATCTTCAGTTTTGTCATCATTATCATCATAATCACTATTATAATAATGATTATCATTATAATGATTAACATGCTAATTATTTTCTTGATCATCAAATTTATCATTACCGCCGTTATTTGTCTTTGTTTTATTACACGTGAGCCAATAAAGTTATACGCTCGTAGTTGATTTCAGCCGAGCGTAGAGAGTGCCGATTCCCGTGGTGCCCCACATGAACCTCTTGCAAGCATCGGTGGCGAGGCAATCGAGCCGATAGCAGTTTGCAACTCAGCCTCACCCTTTTCCCCTTCCCCTCTCCCCCTGTCCCTTGCCCCTTTCCTTCTCCCCTGCTCCCCACTTTCCCTCCCATCGTGTCCCTTGCCCCGTCCCCTCTCCAATTGTCCGTTGCCCTTTCCCCTCTCCCCCTGTCCCTTGACCCTCCCCCCCTTTTCCCTTGCCCTTTCCCCTCTCCCCCTTTCCCATGCCCCTTCCCCTCTCCCCCTGTCCCTTGTCCTTCCTCTCTCCCTTTACCCTTTCTTCTATCCTCTTTCTCCCTTCCCTCTGTCC